GTGTGGGGCTGCGTCACTGAGCGCAGCTGCTGCCCTGCCCGGTTTCCCGTTGTGCTCGGAGCTCCACGGCGGTGGATGCCACCGCCACGGTTGTTGCAATATGAAGTCTTTATTTTCACCGCTCGGTAGCAGTAGTAGTCGCAGCAATGGCAATGTTAATAATTTGCAAAGCAATAACGTCGCTGCTAGCAACCACACGCGTGCCACGTAACCTTCCCCGGGGTCCTGGGAGCTTCGCCGGCCCACGGGGTTCAGAAAATCCCAGGGTTCCTGTGGAGCTCGGCGGACCTGGGCTTATTGTTGCCGCTGGACGGCAAAGTTCGGGTACCAGCGTCACCGTCGCCGCCTCGTCCTTGACCACTCCCTGCTCCCACCTTGACCCCCCCCGCTCCCACCTTGACCCCTCCCCCCCACGCTCCCATCTTGACCCCTCCCCGCTCCCACCTTGACCCCCCCCCCCGCGCTCCCACCTTGACCCCCCCTGCTCCCACCTTGACCCTCCCCCCGCTCCCACCTTGACCCCCCCTCCCACCTTGACCCCCTCCACTCCCACTTTGACTCCCCCCGCTCCCACCTTGACCCCCCCGCTCCCACCTTGACCCTCCCCGCGTTCCCACCTTGACCCCTCCCCCCGCTCCCACCTTGACCCCCCCTGCTCCCACCTTGACCCCCCCCCCCCCCCCCGCTGGCTACAGCAGTGGCCGACTTCGCCCGCACCGCTTCGCTTCTTCTTTGCCGCGCGTTCACGAAATAAAGAGCGCAGGAACCCGCGCGGTTCGAGCGCAGCGTCTGTCTCGCCGCGGGTCTACGACGCGAGCATTCTCTGTTTTTATAAATGTATAAAAAAATTGAAGCTTTTACTTTTAAACTCCCGTTTCATTTTACGTTTCGCTGGTCAGGTTTCATTCCATTCGGTCACCGCAGCGAAGTGGCTATGAAGTGGCAACAACCATCGCATCGTGTGCTGCTCCGCGAAGCCTCCGAATTCGAGGTCACAATCAGTTTTCAGTTTCATTTATTTGGTATAGCCCTGTGAGCCATTCGGCTCTTGAATCGGGTGCAACCGCAACAAACAAAAACATGAACAAGAAAACATCTTAATGTGACTATGTGACTACGTGCAAACAGAAAATCCAAGAAAAGACAGCAAAATATTGCAGAAAAAGCACCGTACACCAACGCTGTGTGCAAAAATCCCAGTGGGATGCAAGTCAAACAACAACTACAAGACAATTTAGATTAAGGCCATCAGTCTAACTCCGTACTACAACAAACAAACATGGCCAAACCAAAAAACTTTTCGAAATCACAAATAAAGCCATAAAAGCAATGTAACAGCGATCATAGGAACTGTGACCGAATTTTCACAATAAACGACATAAACAACATGTACCACCAAACCGTGCAGCCATAGCTGGCTGCATGAGTCGCTCCACAACTGACTTACCCTTCTGATCTCTCTTTCCGATGTTATTTATATTTTGTATCTAATTAGTTTCGCCCACCCCCCCTCCTCCTCCAACCCCTCCGCTAATGTGGGGGATCGCTGAAGTGAACCCTGCATCACAGCCACTGGTCACTTCCTGCGTTTGAATTGTGAGGGACTGAGAGACGCCTCTGACACTGATCTTTGTCCATTACAATCGAATCGATCTCGTTTCCAATTTCACCTAAAAGATGCTTTGCTGGGCAAACAATTGTATAGCATCTATAACTGAAGATGTTAACTCTTATTAGATGTCCACCTCGAGATACGACTTCCAATACCAAACTTACCATCCCCATATTCCTGTCTCTGCACCTTTTACTCCTTTTCGTGCATTCTATGCATAATCTGTTCGATGCCACTCCCTGGAAGGGGAGGAATTTATTAATTGACATTTGACATTGATTTATGTTTGTGAAATAGTTTCGATTGCTCACGTGGTGAGACTGCTATTTTCGTGCTGTTTTCACTTGCGCGTCGTTTTGGTGACCGAGATCCACCCCCCCTTTGCAATTGAGACTCATCCTGGCCCACCGTGGGTTTTTGCCTGGTTAGACAAATCGCCTTGAAGGATGGAGCCGCTTAAGGGAGGCCTTAATCCATCCATGTCAAGCCCTTATTGACCAGTGCCCTACCTGATTATAAGACCAACTCAGACCTTATTGGTAACCCCGTGCCCTTATCAATCTCAACGTTCATCCTACAAAGTCCCATCACAAGGGAGAGAAAGACAAACAAATAGACAATTATGTTTGCCCGTATTGAAACGGCTGTACGCGCTATTGACCTGAAAACTCAATTTCCCTGCACAAGAATACACGGGGGGTAGACCACCACCGTACGGGTTGACAGGTGTCTTAATCCAGCAGCGGAGTGACCATGGTCGATGACACCGCGTGCAAATTAGTGGGCGTGCATTCTAGATTTGAAGCTTTCGTGACTGCAAGGATTAATTCTAGATTTGAAGCTTTCGTGACTGCAAGGATTCATACTCTTAGTTCTTTCGGTAGTAAAAAATAAAAACAATAAAATCACGACGTTTCGGAGGTTCATCCTACAAGACGGAAGCTTGTTGCCTCCGAAACGTTGTGATTTTATTGTTTTTATTTTTTATTAATCTTAATTTCATTTTTTACCTACGCGACTTTACTGCAAGGATTAATACTCTAAGGTTTTTTTCGGTAAAGTCACGTAGGTAAAAATAAAAAAATAATAATATAAATAATAATATAAATAAAATTATAAATCAAGCCGTTTCGGAGACAACACAAGCTTCCTTCATCAGGTGTAAAAAAGCACAGCAAAATAAGTGTAGTGGGAGTTATTTGTGATGGGGCATTAATATATCGGGTAAGAGGAGGAGGGGGGAGGAGCCAAGGGGGGGGGGCGTGCACAACTTAATGTGGGCGGGACCCACAGTTCGGCATTCCCATTGGATCCGCGCGCTCGCGCATGCGCACTGAGAGCTTCGCGAAGCTGCTTCGCCTTTCCCGCCCAAAATACGGAACCGAGACGAGGGGTGGCGGAGGACGCGAGAAGATGAGGGGGGAGGCGAAGAGACGAGAAGGGAGAGCGGAGGCGAGACGAGGGGAAGACGAGGAGAGACGAGGGGAAGACGAGGAGAGAAGAGGGACACGCGCGGAGGCTCGGGGCTCCGACGGCAAGCAAGTCGGCGCCGTCGCCCGCTCGGTGGGTGAACCCAAGCAGACCTCCCGTCGCCTCGACCCTGCCGAGAATCGGCTCCGCGGGGGGGGTAACGGAGCGTGAGGAGTGACCGAGGCGAGCGACTCTGATGAGTGACTGTGAGGAATGACTGATTATGAAGATGAGAGGATGAGGAGTGACTGGGGGGGGGGGGGGGGGGAGTGATAGTGTCAGGGCTGAGGGGAGTGATGAAGAGTGGTGACCGAGGCGTGTGTCTGGGTCTGTGAGCAAGGGGGCATCGTGGCTGATTCATAAGTGGGGAGTGGCTGAGATGAGCACCTGTGAGGGGTGACTGGGGGAGTGAGGAGTGACTGATTATGAAGGTGAGAGGATGAGGAGTGACCGCGAGCTTTGCCTTTCACACGCGACACCATTTTTTTGTTCCGTTGGTGGCAGCTGTTGGGAGCAGTTGACGTTGGCACAGCCCCGAATTAAACAGAGGGCTTCATTTTAGACGGGTTTTGTCCGTGTTTATTAGTGACCTGGGAAAACATTTTACGAACCCTGCACACCACATCCACGGCACCTCTTCTTGTTCCAGTCTACGAGTGAGATTTAAAAAAAATTATATATTTTTTTGGTGAGAAAATATCACTGCAGAGTAAATGAAGTGGGGTAGAAAATACAAAGAGAAATAATTGCACGTGTTTGGTTCTTTCGGTAAAGTCACGTAAAGGGAAATAATAAAATAATATAAATATAAAACAATTATTTCCCTTCTACGTGACTTTACCGAAAGAACCAAGAATATGAATCCCTGCAGTCACGAAAGCTTTAAATAAAAAAAAATTTGCACATCCACTTTTAAAAGCCATCAGGTCATCGCATGATACCAATGTTAAAGGGAGCAGTTGACGTTGGCAAAGCCCCAAATTAAACCCAGGGCTTCATTTCAGACGGGTTTTGTCCGTGTTTAGTGACCTGGGAAAACATTGTACGACCCCTGCACACCACATCCACGGCACCTCTTGTTCCAGTCTACGTGTGAGCTTCAATATACGATGAGAAATAATTGCACATCAACTTTTAAAAGCCATCCAGGTTATCGCATGATACCAATGTTAAAGGGGACTTGTGAATTGCAAGAGGGAAACCAGGTTCAACTTATTTTGCAGCATCACGGATTAATGCACATGATCTTGACTATGTTATTAACTCTGGGCAACTCAAAAGGATTGTATGCTTCATATTAGATTGCAGGGGTCAAAATCTGGTATACTCACACCAGTAACACTTCATCGGCTATCTGACGTGAGGTTAATGAGAAAATAGAATGTAAGATCAGGAGCTTACATTTTACATAAGGATCTCTAACGTGATGTTGCAATGGCTTCTCTCCAATTGTTCTTGGCATAGCATCACTTCCGTGCCTTAGTCAGAGCGTGCCCGACTGATATTCACGTGTTCTTTCTCATTAGCAAAGCTTTAAATCACGTGGGATAACCCGTGACGTGAATGCAAGGATAAATAGTTGCTTATTTTCATTGCGTGCATCTTTTTAATCCGCCCCTATGCGTGTGCAATGTTGTGTCATCTGTATCGTCTTTGTTGTGTGTCTGCAGCCAGGGAGGCAGCGCCGGGTCACCACTGCCCGCTCTCCCGGCCGCTCCAAGGCTCGCCGCTCAGCTGTCTCTCCTGGCTCTCCTACCCGCTCTTCCAGCCGCCACAAGTCTTTACGCTCGTCTGGTTCTCCTCCCTCCTCTCATGCCATCCCTCCGGGCCGCTCCAAGGCTTTTCAGTCTTCCGTCTCTCCTGACTCTTCTGCTCACTCTTCTGGAAGCCCCAAGTCCTCGCTCGCTCCTGGTTCCCCTGGTCGCTCGGCGCGCCTTCGTGGACGCCCCAGGATCTCGCGCTCTCCCACAAAGCCAGCCGCCAGCCCTCCGGAACCCCCTGGGCCCGCAAGCAGCGTCAGCCTGGAGAGCAGCCCGGACCGCACTGAGCCCCAGCCCAGTTCGCAAGATGCACCTGCACCACAGGTGTGTGTAGTAATGAGTGTACCTTGGTCTGGATGCGTGCTGTAAGCCTGTTTTGCTGTGTACTGTGGTTTAAAATATTCACCATATCCTGGCGGTTTGAAGAGTTATCACAATTTGGGTTGCGATTCCATTTGTGGTAAACAGTTGCGCCACTCGTTGCTGAGGAAATATTTAATGTGTCTCAAAATTTGTATCTTTCATCTTTATAAATAAAGGTTAGAATATTTATCCTGGAGAAATCTGATGAGATATGAAGCTCTTTTTCACAGATGTCGAGTAGGTTATGTGAATCAATTATATGGCTCGGGTCAGAGTGCTGAGTTGGCATCTATGAGAGTCTGGGTTCGAATCCAGGCAGCTGCCTGTGATTAAAACGGCCACCAATAACTGCAAAAAATTAACTCTCTGGGTTAGGCTAAATTCCACTGCTGTATGACAGTTATCTGGCAAACTTGAAGTGCTGCCTCTGACCGTGCGCTGTTCTCTAACACGAACGCTTGCGCTGCTGTGTGAGCGATCCAAATGGTTTCTTCATTTAATGATGCCAAGAGCATAATGGAGATAAAAAATGCTTGTATGTTGAACTTCTTTCGCACTGTACGTAGCTACCCGTGCTAATCAGACGTGCTGTTTCTACTGTGCACTCCATGTTATGTGTTGCTGCGTGTCATGGCTGTGTGACATGCCATGCAGGCGGAGCGTCATGAGCAGATGCGTACCCCTGATATTGTGAAGAACTACAGCTTCCAACGACGCTGGGCGGCTGGTGCTCGGAGGGGACCCAAAGGCACACAATGGGACTCCCTGTGTCTCCCACTCCTCTCCCCACACAAGCGTGCCGTCCCATGTCGCCCCAAGAGAACACCGCTCAGCTCCCGTGGCCTGGCAGGTGAGTGCACGGTAGTTGAGTAACGATTCACTTGCCTCACCCACCTGCTCGCCGCTCCCTGCAATGTGATGAGTTGTCATGATTTGATCCAAGAGTTGTTTATTTTTTAATGCTTTCCAACCAAGGTTGACGACGTTAATCCATAAACTCTCCATTCATCTGTAATGGAGGGCCACATGGAGATCAATTTAAACCTACAGTATAGAGTTGTTGCAATTAAGGAACTAATATGTAAATAAATTTCACCCTGACGGCTACCATTTGGCTTCCTTACTGCTATATCAATACTTCCTGAAAACTATTACAATTACATAATCAATGCATATAATTTTTTTTGTATAATTTGTAAGGTCACATTTTTATTGATTCCTAATTCATATTTTGGGTTAGATTAAATGTATCATATGCCCTCCATCCGAAACAGCCAATTAATAAAGTTGTTACGTGAACAAACGTACCAATGTATTACTGCTTCAGCACACCAGTATGTTGGAGAGCAATCCACAACATTTAACAATTGGATACGACGTTTCGCTTGCAGTTACAACCAGCATCATCAAGCAGTTTCCAATTCTGGGGTTGCAGGTGCGGTGATATTGCTGCTGGTGTGGCCAGCCGGTCTGCTGTGCCTGGCCCAGGTTGCCGGCTCCCCCAGCTGCAGCCTGCTGGGGTCCCTGTCCCAGTCACCCGGTGCTCCTGCCTGGACCCCAGCGCGGCTGTGGGACCCGCGTTGCCTTGTGGCACTGCTGGCGTGGATGGCTTTGCAGGTGCTGCTGTTTGTGCTGCCCCTTGGCGGTGAGGTGAGAGGTGCCTGCTTGTTGCCACAGCTGCTTGTAGTGAGGTTTTACTGCGATATAATTTTTCACAATACAACAGGACTTCTCAACCCACTCCAAAGGGAGTCAGGTGGGAGGTTCGTAGGCTGACAATTTTTTATTGTGCATAACATACATGCGTAATGAACGTCAGTGCCAGATTGCGGTGATAAAACATTAATACACATGATACAAATTCCTTATGAGCACCACAATTACTCAAGGCGTGGGCCTGTGACCTCTGTGGTCTTTAGTAACCTTAGTTGGTTTGGGGGCTCGGGCAGGGGCACAAAAGTGTTTTGGTTTGGCCATGTTTGTTTGTTGTAGTACAGAGTTAGACTGATGGCCTTAATCTAAGTTGTATTGTGGTTGTTGTTGTTTGACTTGCATCCCACTGGGATTTTTGCACACAGTGTTGGTGTATGGTGCTTTTTCTGCAATATTTTGCTGTCTTTTCTTGGATTTTCTGTTTGCACTCAGTCACATATTCACTTTAAAAGATGCTTTTTTGTTTGTTGCGGTTGCATCCGATTCAAGAGCCGAATGGCTCACAGGGCTATACCTAATAAATGAACTTGAACTTGAAGGCTTAATTTTAATATTTTCTATTTATTTACAGCTTTAACTATTGCTTTAACACGTAGGTGTTTTGTATAATTTTTTATATTGACTTTATTTGATACTTTGGCAATAAATTTGCTTCACTGACCCTGATAAAATATTTAGCATTCACGAATTAAATTATCATAGAAATTTTGCGGGCGGTTCTGTAAATGCGGGGCCGCCATGTCACCTGGGCACCGTGTCGTGTGCAGGTGGTGAAGGGAGCGCTGCAGCACAGCGGGGAGGTGCTTGCCTACAGAACCAACGGTGAGACACTTGAGGCAGGGTGTGGGGTAGTTGGGTCCAGAGCAGCCATAGCAGGTACTTATTTAGAAAAACTGCGTTCCTCGTGGCCTGCCATGATACGTCTTTTCACATTTACCAATTGTCTCATATAAATTAGGTTATTACATGCTGCACATTCCTAATGATTGGTATACATTCCCCCATTTACTCACTGTCTTTCATTGGACCTGCAAATCTCACTCACAACCTTAAACAAGAAATCTCGATTTTATAAATTGTCTTATAGTTTTACAAACATTTTCAAAGTGATTCTTAACTTACATTTTCACCATCAGGTGCATAAAACTTGAAACGACTGAATCATTATTTAAATAGATTAGCAAAGGTAAAAAAAACTTGCGGATGCAAGTCACGCTAATGAAGTGTGGAAACCCTGTTTTAGAACACAACAGTGACAAGTTCACTGACACGTGGTCACTCCCTGTGGGCAGGGATGCTGGCGCTGTTGCTGACACTGGCTGCTATGGGGGCGGGCTGGTGGGCATTTGATCTGGACCCCACCTCGGCTCCCACCCTCCTCACTCCCCTGGCCACCGCCGCTGCCGGCGCCGCACTGCTGTTGGGCGTTGCGCTATACATAGCTTCGCTTGGCAAAGACACCGCAGACCTGGCGCCGCTCGGGAACACAGGTGAGCGTAAGCACCTTGGGTTGCGTTCATTGGATCAAGCTGCGTCAGTGGTGAGGATTGAAGAGCGAATGGCTTCTGTGCGAAATATGCCATTGGTTGAAGTTGTGTGCTGCATAACGTATGTCATCCTCTGCTTTCGTATAGCAGACATTTGATCTACAATATGAAAATGCGCACATCGAAATTGGTGAGTCAGCCAGTGGGCGGCTTGAGGAGTAGCCTCGTTAATATCAAAACACTGCTGGTGAATGATCGAAGCGGGCAGTGGCGTTACGATGTAATTGCACTGTGGACTATTGTTTATTATACATTGCAGGAAATAACCACATCTGCTGTGTGAGTTTTTGATGTGATTATGTACACACCATTACGAGTGGATCTTCTGTGGATTCAGCAATTAAGGACGTTGGTATTGTCCCAGATTTCTCTCCACTGCTTCAGCATTGAATGAGGGTGCTTTGAGAGCATGTGCACGATCCCAAAACGGGCTATAGGACTTAAATGGAGACTTTGTTGAAGTGGCTCAACGAGGTGCAGAAGCGTTGCTTCCAGGTGCAGTCATCTGTGCCTCAGAGAGGCTGCCAAGTTTCTCGCCAACAGCGCTTCCCTCAACGGGGGATATTTGTCTTTGTTAAGGTTTCTCCCCCAATCGTTATTCGACCTCATGCTGTTGACAGGAAACATGGCATATGACTTTGTTCTCGGCCGGGAGCTGAACCCACGCATGGGCGCCCTAAACGTCAAGCACTTCTGCGAGCTGCGTCTGGGCCTGCTGGGCTGGGTGAGTAGTGCCGGGGTGCATGTTCGTCTGCTGCAAGTGACAGCTGGCGCTTTATGGGGGATTCGTGCCACGCCTTGAACAAGTCCCACGCTCTTCCCTGCCTCAGATTATTGCTCCACAGAATCGCTAACTTCATGTCCATGACCATGTTCATTGCTCTTCATGCATGGTCCAAATTTTCCAAATTCGAAAATGACTCAAATTGTTTAATTGGGATGCACACAAGAATCATCCCCTACTTGGCACACTCTTGCCTGCTTGTGGACCAGGTGTCGAGTCACCTTGCGCCACACAGGGACAGCTGTCACTGGGGGTGCCCTTGCAAATGTTTGAGATGATATGTTGGTTATTGCGTGTAGAACATTCTTGAGACACCTCTAAGTAAATGGTGCTTGAACAAAAACACATGTGGGTGAGAAGAGCTGTTGTGAGTGTGGAGTGATGGTCTTTAGACATGTAACTAAAAATACATTTTAATCAATGACTCAATGAACACATCTTGATCCTTAATCAATTTTAATCGATGCATCATTACAACACTCGGAACGAGTCAACCGCTTGTCCCTGCTGGACTGTTTAGGTGGTGCTAGTGCTGGGCTTGGTTGCAGCGCAGGCACGGGATGCTGGCACCCCGTGCTCTGCACTCGCTCTCGTCGCAACATTTCAGATCGTGTACATCGCTGCTGCCCTGTGGAACGAGGTAACGCGTGACCTTCTGCTGAAGTATGGACGATTTTAGTTCCTGCACTAGCAGTATGACTGGCCTCTGCAATCGGCAAGTCTGGGATGCTTAATATTTTCTTCATTTATATTTATGCCTTTATTTATCTCATCAAATGAAATCTTCAGTTGCTGTAACTTTGTCAAAAGCATATCCTTGTCTGACTGCCCGTTTAATGTGGAATTTTTTTCTTAAAAATCACGTTTTTTACTTAGGCCTTGGTTTGTGAAAATCCATGATTGAAATGAAATCAATAAGCAGGACAATTTGTTTTGGTTTATAATCAACAGTCAACTGCTCTTACAGGATGTAGGGCCTTACCTGGTAAAATAAAAAAATAGTTTAGTTAGGAGTTACACCACTTATACTAAAACTACCCAACAACTGGGTATGTTTCATGACCGGTAAGGCAGATGTTTTTTTGTGGCTTCCCAAGTGCACCTAGTCTGGCACAACCGCTGTGGTGACATCACCGTCACTTAGTAATGAATGGTGGCTGTTGTTGTAGGGGAAGCTGGTGGCTGCATTGGATACATCGCCTCTAGGGGCCGGGTTCCTGCTGCTGTTTATTGATCTGGCTTGGACTCCCCTCGTGTGCTCCCTTCCGGCTGCCTACCTGGTCCAGCAGCCCCTTCAGCTGCCGCTATACCACTCTGCCTCACTCGCGCTACTCTATGGTACCTGCTCAGCGCTGCACTCGCCCTCATCTTTGACAAATAATACTCACCCGCACACATAGCTATATGGAATGCCCGCTTACCGACTGCATGGTACTAATACTTAACTGCTTACCCACTCTTAATCCTGCAGTGTTAAACACCGACTTCACTGGCTGTGTCAGTACCCGGCATTTTTAGTGTGCCATGTTTACTGTTTCTTGCAGGACTGGGTCTGTACATTTACTGCAGAGCGAGCGCCGAGAGACGCGCCTTCCAGCACAAACCCAGCTTGACTCGCTCTTTTCGTAAGCCTCACAGCGCACTCCTCTTACCATTTTCCTTTTTTTTACGCTTTCCAACAAAGGTTGAAAGCGTTAATGTGCTGTCTGTCACGGGGGACCCCACAATAGCTCTCATAAAAGATGATAAAATATGCATTCGTTTTTAGTATAAAGTTGCGTTGATATTAGGGACCTGCTCTTTATAAAACTGGCCAAATATCCCCTCCGCCATGCGGAACCTCGATCACTGGGTCAAGACTGTTAACAGGAGATGGGCACCGCCTCAATGCTCATTTGAGCAGTGTGACTTTAAAATTAAAGCATTGCCCAAAAATTCTGAAGACAAACGCCAGTGCTTAAAGTATATTCCCCTTGCTGGCCAAGGGGATGACATCATCTTGCGTGGCTTCATCTAGTGACATCAAGCCTGTTGTGTGGCTTGAAACATTTGATTGTTAATTAAATACTTCTGAGGATGTAATACTTCTGCGAATTATTGACGATACTGAAAAACCGAAGTGAAAAGTCCCGAGTTTTGCGGATGGATTGTGTTCTTGAGCCACCCATTGGTGCCATTTGCGTAAAACTCTCCACTGCGTAGGTAAGGAGAGCATTCCCACGGCGACTGGCAAGCGTCTGCTGGTGTCCGGCTGGTGGGGCGTCTTGCGCCACCCTGACACACTGGGACAGCTGCTCATGACGGTGGCGTGGACCCTGCCCTGTGGTAAACATCTGCACCCCTCTATCTGGATTATCTGATTATTTATGTAATAATTTACTCAGAATAATTGAACCGACAATCATTATATCAATCGGATATAGTGTTTGTGTGCTTGCATAATATCCCATGTATTGCATATACTGTGTGTGCTGTTCGGGTATGTGATCTGTGTTTTAAGTATACCATGTCCTGTGTGCAGTCGTGTCCTGTGTCATGTATACCATATAATTTGTGTGCTCTCCAAGTCCACATGTGTAATGTATCCTGCATGCGCCGTGTGGCCCCGTGTGCGCTGCGCTCTGGGCTGTTCAGGCGTGCACGCCGCCCTGCCTTGGGTGCAGGCCGTGTACGTGTGCGGCGCGCTGCTCGTGCGGGGCGTGCACACCGAGCAGGCGTGCGTGCGGCGCTATGGCGCCGCGTGGGCCGAGTACTGCCACCGCGTGCCATACCGCCTGCTGCCCGGCCTCTACTAGCCCCCGCCGCTCACCTGCCCCAGGTGACCGTCCGCTCAACGCCAACTTCTGCGCAGCCTCCGTCCTTTAACCGTGACCAGGCACTGTTTGCCCGGGTGCAGGGAGATTGTATTTGTGAAGGTCACGCCTCAAAAGTTGTGGCTGCGACTCCTCCGGGTCTGCCTGGCGCACGTGGCATTTAGCTTGTTTTACATATTTTCACATGTGAATCCTGGGCATTGGGATGAAGTCCAACGCACAGCGGTGCTGTCATTTGTTTACGGCTAGGGTGAGGAAACTCCACATTTGGCCCCGACTTAATTTGATACAGGCTATGACTGTTTGGGGACTAATTGGGTACTAAAGGGCAATGCGTTTCTAATTTGAAAGTGCTGTCACTGGGGTCAAAAAAACAAAGTATTGTAGCTTGGTAAAAACATTGTGACATTTCACTGGAATTTAAAAGGAGATTTTACTTTTTCACGAGGCATAGATAAGCTTTTAACATATTAAATAATGACAAGTAGGGATTTGTAAAAAAAAATTGGCCAAAATGTTTCAATAGGACCAATCTAGTAATGGTTTTTTAAAATGTACGCAAGAATTCACTTGGTTTTTCAATAAGAAACAAAATGTATAGACACTGTATTTATAAAATGTCCTGCCAAGATTGGGGGAAAACCCCAACATGCTAACTTATGTTAGTATTTATACGAGGGTGTTGATCCTAAATATGCTATGAAATACAACAAATATTACAGAGTTAAATAATTAAATTTACTAGTCTGTGAAAAATCGGTCCAACTTTTTCTGCTCGTTGTTGTAAACTGATTTTATGCAAACATTTCATAAGAAAATGCGAAATATTTAAATATGTATTGAAGTTAAATTTTTTAATCCTGAAAAAAAGTGCTTTTACCGTATCGTTTTTCGTCAAAAGTGTAGTTATTCTGCTCACGACTATTGAGGAGTTATCTGTAGAGCGAGTAGCAGGGGAGAGGGTCACTCATCATCCACAACATGGCCCCTCCTCACCGTGTGAAGTCTTCTTTATTTCTCAGATAACGAGCAAAACAGCTCGGCCTCTCGCGCGGAACTCGGGAGAGCGTGCGACATGAACCACAGTCACCATCGTCATCGTCTTAACCACCACGATAAAAACATCACCACCACTAACAATCATCACCAACATCACCACCAAACATTGTCACAGTCGCCATCTTAATAAGGGGGTCATCATCATAGTTACAAGCATCATCACGTGGCCGGCGCGTGCTTGCCTTTAAACCCTCATCTCACGTGGCTCCACCTCCCCTCAACCCAAGTGCACAACAACAGGTGACTGGGAATGACAAGGAGTGACTGAGAGGTGAGCAGTGACTGGGGATTATGGCGAGAGTGGGCGAGGATTCAATGGTGCGAGGGAGTGAAGAGTGACTAAGGGATAGCAATGTAAGGTATGATTGGGGGTGAAGGGTGACTTGACGTGAGGGGGGACTGGGGGGGGTGAGGGGGGACTGATGTCCCCACCCTGAAGCAGGGGAAGGGTTGGTCATCCCCGCCTCACCACCCTCCTTCGCATTCCATCAGTGTCAAGCAAACATGAGCTGTAGCCGCCAGGCTCCATGCCCTTTCTTGCACCATCACGACCTCTTCTCCAATCGTGCATCAACATCATGCCAGCTTCCCCCGACGATTCACGATAAAACTATAAACATAAATTAATAAAAACCCATTAACACATTCCAGGTAAAAATGCCTAAGCTTCTCGCCCCAAAACTCTCAACCCAACCTCTCCTGGGTGTGGGGGACCAGGTGAGGCAGGGTGGGGGGGCGGACACAGGAATGTATCAGAACAACCGAGGAGTGAAATGTACTACAACGCTACCGTTACCAGGACTAGGGCGCCACCAACAAAACTCACTACGTTCTAAAACGGCTCCTCGCGACAACGCCAAGTTGCGCCTTAATACTAAATACTGTACATCCTCCGCCCCACAATTAAACACCGCTGGTATTTTCGTTTTTAATTTTTTTCTTTGCAAAGCCGCTATTATTTTCTTGAAAATATTTCCTTGTTTACAAAAACGACATCGAGCAACGTGTGCGCACAACCGGGGCGCATTTGCGACGGCACAAGGCAAAGCTACACATTTACAGGAATCCGACACGAGCAGGACACTTAAGACCAGCGCACGAAAACGTCACCGTTTAGTTTTTACAACAATAATCGACTTGTTCACCAACTCCGTGCGGTGTGGGGCAGGCTCTATAAGCAGGTTCAGGGGGTCAAGGTGGTCAGGAAGGGGGCTCTGCGAGGGGTCGCTCACCCACCCATGTGCACAACAAAGCCGTGGCCTCCCCAGCACCGACGCCACCATCGAGACGGATGAGAGGGCTCGCCGTCGCCTCCACGGTACCGTTTACCTCTTCGACGCGGTAGCAACGGTCGGTTTTCGGAATTTCTCCACCAATGGGAGAGCGGGGGCAACCAAGTGGCGCAGGCTTTGCGGAGGGTGGGGGGGGCGCCCCAACGCCAGCCTCAGCACACCTTCCACTGCATGACGGACGTGTCGCTGCCGCCCGTGCTCAGCAGGTACGAGTCGTCGTGTAGGAAGGCCACGTTGGTCACGTGACTGCTGTGCCCGCTGTAGATTCGGCTCGGCACCTGCGCAACACAATTCATTGTAGATATACAGGATCTGGATTTGACCACATCTTGAGATGTTGGGCATATTTATAGGGGCAGCCAGTCATAGGAGCAGAGGAAGGACTTGAGCCTGAACTTTTGCCAGGCCAAAGGTTGACTTGCGACTTTAATAGAAAAGTGGGTGGAGGGGAATAGCGTGATATGAGAGTGAGGGGTAGAGGAGTGTGGAAACGAGTAGAGCGAGATGCGGGCAGAGTTAGGAGAGGGCATGGAGGATAGGTAGGCAGGGATGAGTCTGTGGAGGTTCTTCGAACAGGGTGAGATCGGGAGCCAATGCAGCGATCGGAGTATAGGGGTGACAGTCTCGTTGAAAGGTGTGGGCCAGGAATCTGGTCACTGCATTTTGGACGGGACCAATGGCACACCTTGGGCTGGGAGCAGGGGTACACGAAGATGTGAACTTTCCCGAAGTCGTCGGCCACAGCAACGACTGCGCGGTTGTGAGCTCGGCACACTGCGTTGATGTCCGTGCCGTCAGAGCCATCCGGCCACACTCCTAGATGCACGCAAAGACAAAGACCCGTGTTGCCTATACACAACGTTGGGACAAGCAATGCTCGCAAGCACATATGAAGGCCACACAATGGGATGGTGTGCCATGCACTGTGCAGTGCTGATGTTTACACACTGCACCACGTACTCATTTAAGGTTGAGCCGACCTAGAAGATGCCCGGCACCAGTTCAGATATTTAACACTGACGTTAGTCGTGACCGTTAATCTAACTCGGGTCACCGGGATGATAACATAGTGCACGAATTACAATAACAACGTTCTACGCATAGATGCGCGTGCACAGATACAAATAATTTAAATTTGTAAGGCGCAATGGGCTGTTGAGCACACATTCAATTGGTGGTTGCCTCGTCAGGACTTAACCCTAGTCCCACTGAGCGAGGGAGGAGCCTTGAAGTCAAATGTCTGTGTGCACCAGTAAATGTACACACGCATGTGACAATGTACCCATGTGTGTTAGCTGGATACTTATATTGACACCCTTGCAAACAAGGTATTCCATCGACAGAATTTCTTACATTTACTCAAAAATATCCAAGATCACGTGTGCTCACGTGTGCGTACCATAGATGTGGAAGCCCAAAACGCAGGTGTACGTCGCCCATTCGATGTCCCGGATGGTATCCGCCATCAGCTGCTGCCTACAGTTACGGTTCCCTGAAAGAGCACATCCACACATGATCAAAAACAAGACAGAGATCCCACGTATAGACTGTAGGGGCAAGTGCTGTGAGCGAGCACCGATAAAGGCAGGCACGCATCTACAAAAAATAGAAAAAAAAATCAGACATATCCATGTAGCCTACAAAGGCTGTTGGGGCAAACGCTGCCATTACGAGCACCTATGCATGCCTGCACGGCACACGTCAGGGCAATGTGGCAAACAATACACAGGCACACGTCTATACCCACCCACACTCCCAGGCATTCACATGGCCTCTCGCACTCACAGTATAGGATCTCGTAATCCCCAGAGTTTGAGACGAGGAACTCTCCGTCCACTGACCAGTCCAGGTGAGTAATGAAGCTGGAATGACCCTGCATGCGCACACGTGCATACGGAAAACATCACACGTGCAGCCATCTGAGTGTTGGGGCAAGTGCTGTTTGTTAGCACCTATCAAGCTTGCAGTGATATGACCAACTGTGTGTGGTATTGGTAATATCGTGTTTGTGGTATTGGTAACACTGGGTGTGGTGAAGTATGTGCTGAGTGCAGGGTGTATAGTGAGTTTGGGGTGTCGGGTGTGGTGCGTGTGCGGCGAACGCGGTGTTGGCAGTACCGTGCACTTGCCGAGCCGCGTGTATCGCCGCCCATCCTCGCTCACTGCATGCAGGAAGATGAAGTTCTCGTGTGAGCCGATCGCGAGCATTGAGCCGTCTGTATGTCAATCGCACAAACACAAAGATCCCCCATGTAGCTCATCAGCTGTTGGGGCAAGTGCCGTTAGCGAGCCCCAATTAAGGCCGGCACAGTGCATGAGGGGGTGATGTGGTCAGCACCACACCCAGCCGTCTTTGTTTTTCTAATGCAGATATACACTGCAACAGGCACTCATTTAAGGCCGAGTCGACCTAGGGAAGGGTCCAGAACCAGTTCAGATATTCACCATTGATTTTTACCACAAGCGGGAATCTAACTTGGTTCGCCAGTTTCATAGTACATTGTGCTAACCACTGTGCCACCACTCCCCACACAGACACACATTTTTAGTGAGTGCCAATAAGCAAGTCCAAAACGGTGTCTCTCCAGGTATGGTTCAATTTTACCCCAAATGAACCCAAAAACGGCCCAGACCCAAGTGTACACAACACAGGCACAGAACGTTATCCTTAGAGTAACGCAAAGAGACGAGGGGAGAAACGAATAGGGACCTGGGGAGTAACGCATGACGGAGAGAAGCTCGGCTCCGTCCGTGTGCAGGGTCACGAGGTCACTTGTCTCGGCGTCCAGCACCGCCCACCTGCACCACAACCGCCGCAGCACAACCGCAGCACAACCACACGTCAGTCTGGAAACCTGAGGTGGCCGGGCGACTCACTTGGCTTCATCACTTCTCAGTGGCAAGACCCCACAAGCAGCAAGTTCCAGAAGAATTGGGACAAAGATTAGTTAGGGAAAACGATGTATGCATATGGATTATGTCCATTCGTCTTCAAAAGTAACATGGCACTGATAATATTTTAGCAGTATGACGATGGGGAGGTAGCCGTTAGCGCAACATGCATTATCATTTGCAAATCGGGTGTCATCACTTCCATGACAACTCTTTACTCACTTTCCCTTCTGCATTCCAACCGCAACCACTGTCCCCGTCGGGTGGAAGTCAGCTGACTGAGCCGCCTCCTGCACAGACACACGGCAAAACAAACACAACGTCCTAAGCAATGGACTCTCACCTGGTTATGCATAAAGCACAAATGAACGGGGCGAGTGAAATACATGTTTCGTCTCTTTGGGCTCTCGACAAGTTCTAATTAAAGCACGTGAATGAACACGCACGACGACTGTGGGTTCGTTGGTGTGTCGTTTGTATGTTCTTGTCGCACGTCAGTGTGTGCGCTGCAGCATTGTAGCACGTGCTGGAGTGTAACAACGTGGGTGCGAGGGCACTCGAGCGAACCGCCAGGCCCCCACCTCGACGGACTTGCTCCAGATGAGGCGGTGCGAGTGCACGTCCCACATGGACACGCGCTT